TGCTCAGGAGTTTATACGTTCATAGCTCCAAAAAACGCGAGAAACATATTGAAGTCAATTCTTTAAAATAAATACAACAAAAGTAACTTCAAAGTCTGCGTAATAATTCAAAAACACAAAAAAATAGAGCCACACGGCTTTGTAGCTCACCTGATTTATGAAGTTGAAGTGGATTTCTGAGTGCGATTCTAGAGACACCACAGCTGGGATCATTCATATAAAGTTTCAGCTCCATTGTAAGTTCAGTGATGTACAAAATGCAATTACACCAGAAATACGGGGGAATGTGTCGGTCACAAGCTCGTGACCAAATAATAAAATAATCACACATGTAGGAATGGCTGTGTAGTAGGCTAAAATGACAGTTTCAATATTTTGACCAAATAATAAAATAATCACACATGGAGGAATGGCTGTGTAATAGGCTAAAATGACTGTTTCAATATTTTAGCCATGTTTCAAGTCGGATTGGGATTCTGTCAGCACATTTTGAGTTTCCACTCCATGGGCCTTGTCGTTCCAGAGCAGGTTTCCAAAATGCAGAACTAGAAAAACGGGGCTGGCTAAGTGATGTTCAAATCTTGATTAAAAAAATAAATAAATAAATAAATAAAAAATGACATTGTCAATGTGGCCGTCAGTCGAAATTCTGTATGCCCGTTTCAGAAACACCATAGCTATATTCATGCAGTGTCAGTTTCATAGGCCTTATAGTTTCAGAGATGTCGAAAATGTAAATTTAACGACTGACTGACGGACAACGCGATACGACATAAGCGCTCTTGACTTTCAGTCAGTGAGTGTTTATAAAGATATCGATTCTTAAAATAACAATTCCCCCACACTGTATTGAAATCCGCGAGCAAAGAAGCAAAATACATGTGCATGGGGAACCCAAAACCATTGGATCCAGTCATGAATAAGGGAAGCAACTATGCACAGCGGGGTGAATTTATCTCGGTTGCAAGAAATGTTATTTTTTGTTTCTGCTTGCAATTGATCATTGACTTGGTGTCAGTTCTTTTGCACTACCAGTACTGTTTATGCCAAAGTCTTTTGTATGGACACAGTTCAGCAGGTGGGTTGAGGGACTGTATGTCAGTCCAGCAGGTGGGTTGAGGGACTGTATGTAAGTCCAGCAGGTGGGTTGAGGGACTGTATGTCAGTCCAGCAGGTGGGTTGAGGGACTGTATGTCAGTCCAGCAGGTGGGTTGAGGGACTGTATGTCAGTCCAGCAGGTGGGTTGGGGGACTATGTACGTCCAGCAGGTGGGTTGAGGGACTGTATGTCAGTCCAGCAGGTGGGTTGAGGGACTGTATGTCAGTCCAGCAGGTGGGTTGAGGGACTGTATGTAAGTCCAGCAGGTGGGTTGAGGGACTGTATGTCAGTCCAGCAGGTGTGTTGAGGGACTGTATGTCAGTCCAGCAGGTGGGTTGGGGGACTATGTACGTCCAGCAGGTGGGTTGAGGGACTGTATGTCAGTCCAGCAGGTGGGTTGAGGGACTGTATGTAAGTCCAGCAGGTGGGTTGAGGGACTGTATGTAAGTCCAGCAGTAGGGTTGGTGATAAAAGTAATGTGTCTTGCAGGAAACCCACACGTACGCAGACATAAAAATCATGAAAATCAAAATGAAAACGCACCTTGGCCTTCTCTGACCAAGAAAGAAACCAGAGGGCGGCGTGTAGCTGCCCCAGCCCACCAAAATATTTCAAAAGGTTTTGGGTTTTTTATATGCTACTTGATGAACGTAATGGACATGTCAACAGGAAGGTATGTACACGTTGATCGATACTTACCTCAGTATGTAGCCAACAACTCGTTTCGGTTTCAAGCAAATCAACAGTGCAGTGCAAAGTGCATGGGCATCAAACCAAGATGTTGATTGTGTTTTCTCAAATGCATGTATTTCTATGAAGTCATGTAGTAGCAAAGAAAAACGGAAATAAAGGACACAACATTCCCGTTAGATCAAGCGTTTATTTAACAAATTCTTGTTTACTCGCATCCGAAACCGACACATCTAAATTGCGTTATCAAGCACGTCGAAAATAACATGTATTCCTGTTAAAAAATTGGAGCATAGTCTTTTCCCTTGTCTGTCTCTCAGGCCCAAGAGAAAAAAAAATAAAAAGGAGTCCAACTCAAGTCTAGAATGATGTCGCAAGTCTAGATTGCCTCAGCTCCAGGAAATTAAGGATTGTTCCGGGCTCCATTTGGATTTTATTATTTTTATTTTGTAGATATATTATTTAATAAGATAACTTTATTTCTGGAACTAAATGTCAGTCTATCTTTTCCCGTGCAACAGCAACAACAGTAATATATAATAATATAATATAATAATAATAACAGCGCGTGTTGTTGGTCATGTGCAACAGTGGGCATCATTGCCACAGTGTGAGTGGCTATTCAAACAAAGATCAAGGACAGACTGACGACTCAGGACCGACAGACGTGGTATGGTGTACACGACAATACGTGGGCGACCATGTCTACCTACATACTACACGTGGATGAGCCGATGTGCGTGCATAGTTCAAACAGTGGGTTCCTGGACATCCTAGACCTGTAAATGGCCTGTCTTGGTCCTTGTTAAATCTCTGACGATGCATGTGTTGTTTTTTTTCAAATTTGAAATGAGGTGGTTGTCACTAAAGACTAGACCTGGTGAATAAAGTGGATAGGATAGAAGCTCGTGTCCACATTCCCATAGAAAAGACATCGCAGCATGACTGGTAAGAACTGGAGCCCTGTCCTGTTGGAGAATACACCGGTAAAGTTCGACGCGACTCTTCTCTTTGGTAGTGGACTCGCACAATCTGGCATAATATCAACCATTTCTCGCACGGTGTTAAATGGTCGATGTGTATAATTTGCTGTTAAAAAGGAAGGTGACCATAAGTTTGATAGTGGATCCTGTTGCTTTAAACATTTTGGTTTGGGAAATCCCAAGCGCTTCCACTCCATGGATTCTTGTTTGCTCCCGGAACCAGAGTGATGGATCCAGGTCTCACCACCTGTCACAAGCCTGAAATGAAATCTTCTGGGTTTCGATTGTATCTGGTCACTTAAGTGAAACGCACGAACACAGGTGTGATGCTTACACACCTAGAAACGTAATCGAGGCGAACTGGGATTCGAACCCACGGCCACAGGTTTCTGGCGCGCCCAAGGAACGCAACTCTGCAAAGTGAATTACAGCGACATTTACGACTGGGCCAACCGTGCCCCCAACATTCTAGGAACCCATTGGGTACAGACCTTTGACACATGTAGCTGTTCATGAAGGATTGTTTCTGTTGTCCCATATGAATAGCCTGTTGTATCCATTCGTGACCAACTCCGGGACAAGCCGAGTAGCGACTCGTGCCCCTCTCGTGGCCATTTTTGCGACTGGGTTCCGTCTTCGCGCAAACGGGCATACCTAAAATAATTGTCAACTCGTGGCGTAATGGTTCACATGTATTTACCCATATATTATATATATTTCAGATGCTATTTAAAGCACGTCGGGACATGCGGAATTATACAGTAAGATTGAACACATTTAACTGTGCCTTGGGTATAGTTTGAGATGCAAGGCATATGTAAAATCAAAAAATATTTCTGAGGGATTCTTTGACGAAGAACTTGAAATCATACGCGCATTCGGATTGGTTTGTCGTATTTTCGCACATAACATTCATCGATAGGGGGACGAGTCTTCTTGCAGGTTACGGAAAGAGGCGATTGGTGACGAATGTGTTGTATCCTCTAACTCATGGAGTGTACTGCGCCAATTTGTTCAGTGCCAGGTTGTGGACAGCATCTGTATATTCTTTCGTGGTGCTCATCTTCCCTTCTCTCTCCCTACCATGCTGGAATTATTAAACGGGTGATGATCCCTCCGCTGCAACTTGCAGCGTTGCGTGGCGAAGTTGTGGACACTTTCAGACTCAAGAAAACTATTTCAAATAAAGCCCCCCATAAGAAATGCAACAATGTTGTTAACTAATCTGACTAATCGAGTACAATGGGTCACTGCAGGTCGTGACGGTGTTCTTATTGACCACCTTAACCACAGTCTATGATTACGGCAGTCGCAATGTTGAATCCAGTTTGTCGCGTCCAGTACCTAAACCAACATGCATTGAACAATGACCAGCATAATCCTTTGGACTTCTCCCATACACAAATTATGCGAGTGTACGTTGGCTTTGAAGGTTAACAAACTCATCTGTCCGATTGTCTTGGGAATTCGAAATTACGAGATTGTCCTGTTGATACGCGTGTCTTCAAGAGAGCGATTCAGGTCAGGATTCAAGAGAAGGCGGCAAGTGGACTGCGAATCATCAAAGAACAAAGATATTCGTTTCACTGATATTTCACTATCGGTGCATCGTAACTGATTGTTCCAACCAAGGACAATATCAGATACAGACATCAAAATATAAGTGTCAAGGTGCATACATAGGTGTATGTAGTACAGCATTCGGGATAAAGATGGCATTAGTTGATAACTGAAAGCATATACATTGCTGATAGAACACCTTTGTGCAACACGATGCACATTCCAAGCCAAGTTCGGATGATACCGGTGTACGCGAAGCTCGGTTCTAACGGTCGCAGAAAACCGCATGGTGTGCGCACACATATATACTACATATAAACCGAGAGTACAGAAGCCTTAACTTTCAGACAATATTAAATATGACAGTGCAATAAAACAAACTTTTCAAGTAATACTTGACCAGAGAGTTCTAGCACCTCTGAAGTAAAGATCTTGAGTTCAGTACTGAGGGATGTTCCAACCGGTAGGGTAACAAAACCAACCTTGCTACTCAATTCAGCATAGCGAACTAAATGGCCATGTCATCCTATTTACATGAGCTGCAATTCTGATTGAGCTACCTATCTGGAACCTGGATTGACCACAGGTGCCATGCATACAATACTTACACGTGCAGATGCTGGAAGGGTCCTCTGTGATTCCTGAAACTTTATATCAACAATTCTACCGTTCTTTCAATACATGTTTATTGACCAGACGAATGACTACAATTTGGCGACGAATTAACATGAAAAACATAAAAGTGACACAGTTATAAAACAACAAGCATGAACGAATTCCTAATGCAGACATCTGATATTCCTTGTTTATGTAATCACTACAGGATGATATCCACCAGTCCTAGATACTTCAACAGCTGCATCACTCGTCTGTATATACACACACACACACACGTGGTGGCTGGGAAAATACTGTACTTCAAAACACTGACAAATACTATATATGATCACTTCTACGTGGACCTAATGAAAAGTATTCTATTCAGGTATGTTCTGTATGAGTAAACATAATTTTACACCTTCTTTCAGCAATATTCTAGCAATATCACAAAAGGGCTTCACACATTGTACCCTTCAAACCTGGGACTTCCTCCTGATGAAATTGAGTGAAGGTGGTTAGAGCAAGCTATTAATCTGCATGTAAAAGTATTATACTTACACCAAATTGTAATCTTACATTAAAACACTAAGGAAATGTTAAAAAGACCCATTCCTGTGTGACAGGCCATACGGGTATTACTTAAAACATACATGCATGTCAATTAGGGGTTTTCACGGTCACAAATCATGTCAACTGCAGATGTTCCCACATTGTCAGCAGTGTACGTAGCACAAGACAAGACCTTCCAATTACATGCGGTATTTACAAGTTGGGGCAATTTTTATAAAGATGTGGACACATAAAAATCATGAGACATTCTTCAAGCTCAAAGAATGATGAAACCTTAAAGAAAAAATATTTACAACACACCATGTACAACGGAACAGTGAATATATGTTGTTCTGAACTGTTACAATATCCTGGTCGGCATCTCCTCAAGACTGTTGTGTCAAGCCTGGTGGTCACTCCTGGATGCCCTCTGATGGCCGTGACAATCAAATGGTTCTTCTTTACTGCACAACAATGACCATACACAACAGCTGCAGCAGCAACATAAAAACAGACTACAGTACAACAACAAATCTACAAGCTTTAATGCAAAAGCAAGGCTGTTCTCTTCTGGGGAGCCTCATGATGAGGCTGCAAGATCGTGAGAGGAAGTGTACATCCATGGTGAAAGAAATCATGCACTCAGTATTTACAAAGCATGCACTCATTCAAACATATCTTAAACTTTATTCATCTTAAAACAAGAAATGACATCTTTGACCACATGAACTAAAATCTATTTTGTATTTGTGTAAACCAATACAGAGATGGCTCATGGTTGTAAATATGTGTGTCTTCCATCAGAAGCTCTGCCATGCTTCTGGAGGATCAGCTCATGGACATACAAATCTTTGCCATAATATAGCAGGATCATGTGGTGGGAACATGGCCTTGAAATTTCCTCATCCTATCAACATGGCTGAATACTAAAGCTTGTCAACAGAAGAGCAGATGACCATTCCCAGGAAGGCTTGTAGGCTGTTCTCGTCCACACGGCACTGTCGCTGTATTGGTGGCTCTGTTGGAAGTCCTCTGCAAATGCAAATGCCCAGAGATCTTGTGACCTTTTTGTTGACCTCACCCCCATGGGGAAATCAGGAGTCTGTTCCTATTGATCAACATTCTTCTTCCATCCTCCACAAGTATTGTCAAGACCTCATGATGTTGTCTTGGATGTTTTCCAGAGATGCTGACGGGTCTCTCATATGCTGTTGATTCACCCACAGTCCATCTCTCACACTGAACAAGCTCAGCCAGGAAGACTTCTCTGCAAAAGATTAGCAAGACACACAATATCAGTGACTTAGTCTGACTTTGAACAACCTTCCCTTGAACATAGATGACTTGATATCATATTGTAATCCATCACTGGTAACACTCATTTACAGAACAGAAACCTAGCAATAGGAATGCTACATGGGAGATTATGAGTTTTTGTTCACCACAGTCAGCAATATCTCAACAATATTATGAATAATCATGAATGGACAAACGAGTGCCTGATGGCATGAACAATAGGACACTATCAGCCAAGTCACATAGCCTGTCCACTAGATCCATGTCTTTTGGTTTGTTTGTTTGTTATTTAACACCACACTCAGCAATATTCCAGCTATATGATGATGACCTGTAAATAACACCGTTCGGACCAGACAATCCAGCGACCGACATCATGAGCATCGATCCACGCAATTGGCATTTGATGACATGCATCAACCAAATCAGTGAGCCTGACCACCCTATACCGTTATTTGCCTTGTACGACAAGCACAGTCACTTTTTACGGCAAGCTTTGGTTGCTGAAGACCTATTCTTACCCGGATCTTCACGGGTCACTAACAAGAATTGGATGCTGGAGACTAATTATTCTCCTCACTTCCCAAGTGACATCCAGGTTATGATACGGTAAGCCAAGTTTGTTTGTTTGTGATTTAACACCACTCAGCAATAATCCAGATATATGAAGGCGATCAGTAAAAAAAGAGTTAGACCAGACAATCCAGTGGTTGATATCATCAGCATCATTCCACGGAATGGGGATACAATGACATTCATCAGTGTTCAAGAATATTCATGTTCAATTTGAAGACCCTGATGCAGAGTTGAAATGTTTCATATCAGACCACATTGTACTTCCATCATTGTTTGGTTGGTTTGTTGTTTAACACCACACTCAGCAATATTCCAGCTATATGACAGCAGTCTGTAAATAATTGAGTCTGGACCAGACAATCCAGTAATTAATATCATGAATACGATCCACGCAATTGGGATCGATGACATGCATCAACCAAGTCAGCGAGCCTGACCAACCAATCCCGTCAGTCGCCTCTTACGACAAGCATGGGTTGCTGAAGACCTATTCTACCCCCCGATCTTCATGGGTCTCCAGGGGCGGTCGGGTAGCCTAGTGGTTAAAGCGTTCGCTCGTCACGCCGAAGACCCGGGTTCGATTCCCGACATGGGTACAATGTGTGAAGCCCATTTCTGGTGTCCCCCGCCTTGATATTGCTGGAATATTGCTGAAAGCGGCGTAAAACCATATTCACGCACTCACTCATGGGTCTCCACCATTGCAATGTGTAATGGAATGTCCAATATTCCATCTTCCATCTCAAAACAGACCTATTTATTTCTAGTTTTATCATTGCTCTATCTCTACTGTTAACTAAAACAAGACCTTAGTTTCTTCCAGTTGTTAAAAGCATCTAGCATAAGGACAAAGACTTCTTACATGGTCACATGGGAACAAAGTAAAACATCTATCTAAAAGATACTATAGCTAATGAAAGAAAAGAGAAGTAAAAGTCAAGCTTCCTTAATAAAAATTGTAATTGCATTCTCAAAAAGCTAATTTGGTGATAACCTCCAGTGTAGACATGTGAGCGATACAGATGAACATCAAAGAGGAGGGAATAAAACCACATAGCCACAAACATCCCATCTCTTCATAATGGGTCCTCGGCACTTTCTTATAATCAATTAATGTTGTGGGCAATCGTCTTGACATCAGCAGATAGAAGTATCAACTTCCACAGGATAAGCTCCCAACATCACAGGCACAGCCCCTCCACCTACCTACTTACATATGTAAACACTAGAATGAAATATAGGACCTGTGACTTGCTGGGAAACACCAAACCCTGCAAAGAGCTTTGTAAGTAGCTGTGTGCCTATAAATTCAAGTGGTATTACTCATGAGGTCGTCTCCACAATCTGCGGCTTTGAGTTTCTGCAGGCTAGACTTGAGAAGACCGATGGAGACCGCTATGTCAGAGGACGCATGCTTTGGTTACAAACTCATTAATTCTTGTGCTTGATAAAGTGGGAATTTCCCACTTACTAGACTGAGAGTGACTTAGTAATTATGCATTAATTGTACAGGTGTGGTGGAAGGTGCTTGTTGTTATGAATAATGCCTGGCATGTATAGGGAAACTACACATTTCAATCTCATTAAAATCAGATCTTAGTTCTCGCTTCCGCTAAACAAAGATCTGTGGACATCCCATTAGGGGTCACGTCAGAACGACCTTTCATCTGACCAATCAGAGCGTCGCTTACCAGATCATGAAAGTGACAGTCGGAATGTGATTTCTAATCGTGCAGCCTTGAAAACATTAAAACAGGGTATTCCGCAAATATTTAAGCGAGAATTTGTCAAAATATGTTTTGAAGCGTAGTCGCCAATTTGAAATTAGTGCCGTAAAGCATGAGAAAGCTGCCTCCTGATTGGCTAATGTCGACTTCTTGACAGTAATTCCATTGGTCGGTCAGAGTTTGCAAAAGGTCCGTCTGACGTGACCCGTAATGGGATGTCCTCAGATCTTTGTTTAGCGGCAGCGAGAAGATCTGATTTTAATGAGATTGCTATACGTTTTGAATTCAAGTAAAGGCACCTTCAGGACATGCACCCGATTTACACGAATTATTTGATTACTTGACCTGCTTCTTTTCTTAACATGGAGTAATGTGAAACCCCATTTGTCCGGAAACTCTGACACTGCACGATAACTGTTGTGAGTATTTATATATGATAATGTGGACACAACTACCCATGATTCACTGCTCAGGAAATGTATCCATCTGGACGATTCCGCTGAGAATGTTCTGTTCACAGGTCTAAAGGGTGTCATCCATATTAATATTATTATTATTATTATTATTATTATTCTATTATTATCATTATTATGTACAGATTAAAATAAAATATGAAGCAAAGAGTGTTTGGCCGATCCTGGCAGTTTTTTTATATATCATCATCATCATCATCATCATTACAAAACACATAGATAACACTTATATTATCTGAAAAAAATTAATCCACAAATTTTTCAGTTATTTTCTTTTTACAAAATATATATTGAGATAAAAATGGTATAGCAAAAGAGCAACCAAGTCAAATGACAGGTTGGTTTAACTTGTTAAAAAGCTTGTCAGTGCTCCAAGCTATCCAGATCCAATTTACAATCAGCAGAAATGTGTATGCAGCAGTCCGAGTGCCCAATTAAACAGTCCCCAGTGTCCTCGATACCTCTTGACTTAGTTACACCACTCTAATTACAAGTGGGAACCCAATGGCAACCAACTTGGCCCACTCTCTGTTTGAAAAGATGTCTAATTTATGGAGGTCTGCACAGATTGTTTCTTCCAAAATACTCCGAGGTTTGTGAGATAGGGGCGCTGTGTATATAGAAGCCATGTAGCTAGGGCTATCAACCCATCTCACATCACATTAATGGTAATAGAGACTGATTTCAACCCAATCTGCTTAGCTTTATGTAGTGAAGGGCCAATTCCAGCGGCAGATCCGCTGATATCTGCCGATGACTAACTCACTCATACATTCTCTGCCACATGCAAACACATTTGAAATTTCTCATTTCACAATCCTTCATTGGATGGGAAAAAATCCATTTAATTGAGAAATTTATTTGGGTGGTCCACCTTGGCACTTGGATTTATCCAATATATTAAGCGTAAAAGAGCATGCTGGTTCACATCCATCGTCGCTTCAACAAACGCAGGGCTGGCAGAGGCAGGGGAGGTAAGATCCCGAGAGAGGGAGGGAGGGAGGGAGGTAAGAATCCGAGGGAGGGAGGGATGTAGGATAAAGCCTCGATTGTATCACCAGCTCGCAATTGCTTAGCTCACCTTGCAGATAGCTTCGTGGGCCACTCTTGTACATATGACTCCAGGAAATTGTGGTTTTAGAAAAGTGGCATCTCTATCAATGTTTACGTTTGGAAGTGCAACATAAGTAACCGCACACCAACATTTTCAAATACTGTCTCCTACAGCATCTTTGTAGTAGGTGATAGCGCTGGCTGTGTGAGTGACAAGAAGCTATCTGCCGCCTCCACACTCGCTAGTAACCCTGGCTGGATATACAATGTGGGTGGTGTCTTCGCATGCTGACACACGTGTTTAAACACTTACGTATAACAAGATAGCGACAACTTTAGAGAGGCCATTTACACTTTTAAACACTTTATAGAAATAGACACAATATGTCAGGTTTATATAAATACTGATTATCATGAGAAAATATGAGGGAATTTCGGAATGATGTGACCTAGGATTCCCTTCAAATTGGTTGAACATAAACTTGGCTGCCTTATCATGCAGGGAATCTGCATGCAGGCCAGGCAAAGGCTCATTAATTGCATGAGGTGTAAACAATAGCGTGACACTAGACCCAGTGTCATCTCGCGCTGAGACATGAGCATGAAAATATCCCCAAAGCTTTCCCATTTGGATATGCCCTCACTGTCCGCATCTCAGTTAAAACATTCATATTCCTTCTGAAAGATCGAAAAATAGGTCAAACAAAATTTCACAAAAAAACCCAATAAAGATCATTGCGTTTTAACATAGACGTGTGTGTTGAACATTGTGCCAATGTTATCTTTATCAAAGGGTAACATGAACACTGTTGTTATTGTGACGTAACGTCCAAATGGCAGGGAAAAGCGTGATAACAGGGATATGCATCTAGAGCTGCATGAGATCAACCTGCTTGTTTAACACATGCTTCAGACAACTAGTGCTATCTGTCTTTAAAGGTGACTGTTTCACATGCTAGATAAAACACATAAGCGCTGTTGAGTGATGAATGTGTGATGTGTATACATTCTGATACAGGGGTCGGGATAACAAGGACCGCTGCTGTGCTCAAACACACCAAACTTGGTGATGTTTCAGTGGAGGTCGGGATACCATGTCGGTGAAGGAACATACTCTTGCACTTTAACAAAGGACAAGCACATACTTGAATGTGATGTTTCAGGGAATATACACTTTAACGAAGGACAAGCACATACTTGAATGTGATGTTTCAGGGTATATGCACTTTAACAATGGACAAGCACATCCTTGTATGTGATGTTTCAGGGTATATACACTTTAACAATGGACAAGCACATCCTTGTATGTGATGTTTCAGGGAATATACACTTTAACAATGAACAAGCACATCCTTGAAGGTCATGTTTCAGAGTATATGCACTTTAACAATGGACAAGCACATCCTTGAATGTGATGTTTCAGGGCATATGCACTTTAACAATGAACAAGCACATCCTTGAATGGGATGTTTCAGGGTATATGCACTTTAACAATGAACAAGCACATCCTTGAATGGGATGTTTCAGGGTATATGCACTTTAACAATGAACAAGCACATCCTTGAATGGGATGTTTCAGGGAATATACACGTTAACGAAGGAAAAGCACATCCTTGTATGTGATGTTTCAGGGAATATACACTTTAACAATGAACAAGTACATCCTTGCATGTGATGTTTCAGGGAATATATACACTTTAACAATGAACAAGCACATCTTTAAAACAGATTCAATATGAGCCAGTGTAGCATGCACACACACACTTTACTGTTCATTTCTGATTTTCTTCACTCAGTTGCAAAATTTTGTTTCAAACAAGGAAAAGCTCATCTGTATAATAAGTCTTTATTTGTGTACAGTCGTCACCCTGGGGCCCCCACTTTGGCACCTCCACTTTTGGCCCTTCACTTTGGGAGCCCCACTTTGGCATCCCCTCTATGGGACCCCAACTTTGGGACCTCCACTTTGGCACCCCCATTTTGGCACCCCCACTATGGGACCCCTACTATGGGACCCCCACTTTGGGACCTCCACTTTGGCACCCCTCTATGGGAGCCCCATTTTGGCACCCCTCTATGGGACCCCCACTTTGGGAGCCCCACTTTGGCACCCCCAATATGGGACCACTATGGGACCACTATGGGACTACCACTTCAGGACCTCCACAAGCATGACCTAAAATCTCCTGGAACAGAAAGGCCAAGGTAAATCCCTGGCCACAATTGTAAGCATGTTATCACGTTTTGCAGACTAAGCCTGAGATGAGGGTGGGGTATTGATGTAAGTATATCTACATCTGATGAAGGTGACTGATCTCTCTGAAGATGTAGAGAACAGGGAGAAGTGTGATTGAGAGGCAGGGGAACAATGACCTTCTCAGTTCAGTCACAACCATCACTTGGTCAAGCCTTGAGCTGATGTATAACTCAGTCCAGCAAATGTTCACAAATTATATTCCCGAGGTAAATCATTTCATTAAAATTATATCCACATACAACATGTGGGCAAGACAACATGAAAGGGCAAAAGAATTTGTTTTTAAACAAAAAACAACAACATTTTGTTGATTAAAGTCTACAAACATCATGACTCACTGTTAAAAAAATGGTGAAATATTGGTATTTTGTCAGTGAATCCTTTATTAAAAAAAGAAAATATATTCGCCAGTTAAACAAACTAAAACAAGGGTATTCATAAAACACCACTGGTTCTACCCACAAAAGCCTCTTGTGCATGTTATCTGTGAGCGTCTTGAAGACCCCTAATACAATTGACCATTAGCCTTGTTAGATATGTGGGGGAAAGTTGGGCTCCAATTGCATGCAAATAGCCCTGGATAGCATCAGCGGAGTGGATCTGTGAAACACAAGCTGTTGATACACCCAGCCTTTAGAGATACCCAAAGTTCTACAGATAATTCCATGTCCCTTTATCACCACTCATAATTATGATGTTGGCAGTTCCACGCTGACACTGAGGATAGGTTACACTTTTAATGAGGAGAAATGCTTGTTCATTGAAGTGTTGTGTCACTCATTGAAAACAATTTGCTATCTCTGTCTGAAAAACTAAATTATGATTCATCATGATGATGGAAACATAAAATGAATCCAAGATGGACAACCTATGCGATAAGTCTGTGAACTGTTTTACTTCATATTTGGAAAAAAGTCAGCACATATGTTTAACTACATCCACATTTTTATGTGGGTGTTAGTGTGGTCATGGCAAAATTGTCATGGTTTCAAGATATCCATAGGTGTTAAGCTCGTATAAAGGTCTGCAAGATTACGTAAATATGTGCACACAGTCCAAGGATAATTCTGGTCATATCATGACCAAGAATTGGTTGACTGCCCACGTCACTTTTCACCTGACCTCATTGCCGGCCCACATCATTGTCACCTGACCTCATTGCCGGCCCACATCATTGTCACCTGACCTCATTGCCGGCCCACATCATTGTCACCTGACATTGCCGGCCCACATCATTGTCACCTGACCTCATTGCCGGCCCACATCATTGTCACCTGACCTCATTGCCGGCCCACATCATTGTCACCTGACCTCATTGCCGGCCCACATCATTGTCACCTGACCTCATTGCCGGCCCACATCATTGTCACCTGACCTCATTGCCGGCCCACATCACTGTCACCTGACCTCATTGCCGGCCCACATCATTGTCACCTGACCTCATTGCCGGCCCACATCATTGTCACCTGACCTCATTGCCGGCCCACATCATTGTCACCTGACCTCATTGCCGGCCCACATCACTGTCACCTGACCTCATTGCCGGCCCACATCATTGTCACCTGACCTCATTGCCGGCCCACATCATTGTCACCTGACCTCATTGCCGGCCCACATCATTGTCACCTGACCTCATTGCCGGCCCACATCATTGTCACCTGACCTCATCATGCCACTCATGATACCAACTTTATCATCCCCAAACTCATGGTCCCCCAGACCTAATGATCCCAACTGCAACCTAACCTAATTTCCTCATCTGCCCAGCCCATTTCTTGTACATATAAACTCTTTATTTGCATAATATATGTTATTATTAACATGAAATGTACACTTTATGTGAGGAGAAGATCAAGTAAGTGACACACCTTTGTCCAATCCTATTGACTTTGTCAATAAATGAAGTCTAAATCAAATCAAATCAACACAAACTCACACAAGTAGAGACTCTCACTCCCTGTGGACAAAGTCGGACTTATACCTACTCCAGTCCCAACACTGACGCAGAGAAAGGGGATGAAATACTTCAGTGTTAGTTCGGGACAAACATTAAAACACTGCCCACCGGCCAGGCATCACAGCTGACATGAAGGACGACCAACACACTTAGTATAGGCCTTTCCTTCTGATGTGAATAGTTTATCATCTACTCTAATGTCCTATGGCCTGGACACTGAGATTGTCCCGAAATGTCTGTACCATATACATCTTCTGTGACTATCAGTTACAGTGTACTTGTTTAATATTCAACAATGAAGGAAGCCAGTTCAATGAATGTCAACATGAGAAATCGGGGTAGCTACCTTTAACAGCTTAAAAGTATTTTGTTTGATTCAGTGCCCTATGAGCAAAGTCATCATCTGTGATTCTCTCCCAGTCTCGCTGCGTCTGGCCAACGATAAACCCTATCTCGCGCCTTCGACTCTGATGCTGACGTTCCTCTACATCTGCCCACCGAACCTGCAACGGCAGAAAACTTGCTCATAGACATCGCCAAACAATGCATCAAGGACAAGATCAAACTTAAACTTGTATGCTGAGGTCATTACTCTCAAGGAACATATTGTAAAACCGAGATGTAATTTCAAAACAAGGAAGAATGTTTGGAAAAAATCCTTTTTCAGTTTACGACATGCATGGTTTCTTTTCCAGAATAATGATTTCAATTAACAGTGAAATTTACAATATTTATAAGTCTGTTTAGGTTGAATGAAACAACCAGGTCCCCATTATTGATAAGCTTGTAAGAGTTACTTCCCCTTACAAAAAACGCCTTCAACTGAGTAGACATTCGTAGGAAGTGCTAATTTCTTTTTATTCATACAATGTAATCTATCTATACTTGCAATAAAAGAAGGAAATATAAATTGAATATCAATATTAATATTCGGGAATAATATCAATATTTGTTGCACGCAGTCGAAGAAATTGTTCACAGATTTCTCAGAATAACCACTCACCCTCTTTTTGCCCGGTTCGGACATACGATTAAAATAGTCCAGTTGTAGATAGTCATCTAGACTCTGGGGAGACGGACTCCTCTTCCTCTTGTTGAGACGGAGGCCGTCAAGCTTGTCTGAAACACAACATGGTCACTGTTGGTATGTCTGTTGTACATCATTACACAGTGTGTGTATCAGTGTCACACCAGTTTCAACAGTTATTGAACATTATATCACTGTGTGTCAGCTTGTGGCAGCAACCCCACAACTCAGGGCCACAAAGTAATCAGAGTTCTAAGATGACAGTAACTCCCATACATTAACATAGAGTTTTGATGATGAAACCCATGAGCACATGACCAAGGATCACACTTGGGTGTCTCAGGGTTCCACAGAGTAAGAAGCACACTTGGATGTCTCAGGGTTCCACAGAGTAAGAAGCACACTTGGGTGTCTCAGGGTTCCACAGAGTAAGAAGCACACTTGGGTGTCTCAGGGTTCCACAGGGTAAGAAGCACACTTGGGTGTCTCAGGGTTCCACAGAGTAAGAAGCATACTTGGATGTCTCAGGGTTCAACAGACCAAAATCTCTACCCAGTCCCAATGTGAATCCAGGTACACCTGGGTTTTGATCATGAATTTGTTAACCAGAAGGTTGCCAGTATGAACCAGAAGGTTGCCAGTATGAACCAAAAGACTGCCAGTATGAACCAGAATAATGCCAGTATGAACCAAAAGACTGCCAGTATGAACCAGAAGACTGCCAGGACAAACCAGAAGGTTGCCAGTATGAACCAGAAGACTGCCAGTATGAACCAGAAGGTTGCCAGTATGAACCAGAAGACTGCCAGTATGAACCAGAAGACTGCCAGTATCAACCAGAAGACTGCCAGTATGAACCAGAAGGTTGCCAGTATGAACCAGAAGACTGCCAATACAAACCAGAAGTCTGCCAGTATGAACAAGAAGACTGCCAGTATGAACCAGAAGCCTGCCAATATAAACCAGAAGACTGCCAGTATGAACCAGAAGACTGCCAGTATGAACCAGAAGCCTGCCAATATAAACCAGAAGACTGCCAGTATGAACCAAAAGACTGCCAGTATGAACCAGAACACTGCCAATACAAACCAGAAGACTGCCAGTATGAACCAGAAGACTGCCAGTATGAACCAGAAGGTTGCCAGTATCAACCAGAAGACTGCCAGTATGAACCAGAACACTGCCAATACAAACCAGAAGACTGCCAGTATGAACCAGAAGACTGCCAATACGAACCAGAAGACTGCCAGTATCAACCAGAAGACTGCCAGTATGAACCAGAAGGTTGCCAGTACAAACCAGAACACTGCCAATACAAACCAGAAGACTGCCAATATAAACCAGAAGACTGCCAGTACAAACCAGGAAACTGCCAGTATGAATCAGAAGACTGCCAGTATGAACCAGAAGACGGCCAGTATGAACCAGCAGACTGCCAGTATGAACCAGAACACTGCCAATACAAACCAGAAGACTGCCAGTACAAACCAGGAAACTGCAAGTACGAACCAGAAGACTGCCAGTTTTAACCATCTAAGTACGCAGCCAATCAATACTGCATAGCATAAAGTTCAAAAAGCGAGTTGACAAATCTCTATGAAGGTACTGACATCTAAAGCATTGCTGATCAACATCTGAGGGTATTACAAGAGTAAAATACACACTGTCAGTCTCACACACTGCTCTCAATACCACTCACCTAACTGTTCCTCTGATGCTTCGATCTCCCATTTGGACTTCTGGTAGACCTGGAGAACAGACAGGTGGACATGGGTTAGCTACAGTTACACGCACAACCAGAGAGAGAAGTGTAGGAGCCAGTGTGTGCTGATCCACTATACGTCAAATGCAGCTCAACTCTGTGAACTCCACACACAACAATCTTGTGTTGGAACCAAAATTCCGTCTTGCGTGTCTCCGTGGTGTCTGAAAATGGGATCGTCTTTTCCTGCCTGCATCATGGATAGAGATCCGCTATTTTGCCTTTTACGACCAACGGAATCCGTTTCGGCATATAATCAAGATTGATTATTCTCTGGCACTGACATTTTATATTTATAAAATTCTATCTACAACTTATGTAAGATGTTTGGAAATTAAATATTAGGTCTACCATGTCTTGGCGTCAAGACATTTTCTGATATCAAACCTTCTTGGCTGAAGCTGAACATGCTCAATAAACATAAATTATACATAACTACAAAAAAGCAAATTATTTTCAGTATGCAATGATAAGTTTCATCAGGTGAGTGAGTGAGTATTATTTTACGCTGCTTGTAGCAGTACTCCAGGAATATGTAAAAGGGAAGAATGTATCAGTAAATAAATATAATGATAAAACGTTAGGTTTGAATGTTCCAGTATTAGCCTTTGATGATGCTAGGGTGCAGCTGCATTGCACACAAGCGTTCTTGATGCGTATGTATACAGCATTTCACTGCATACAAAATATTGCATCCTAATAGTAACGCATAAAAATTAAGAATGGATTCAAATAATATCCACAGTGAATCCCATTGGAAGTGAAACAACATAGAGGTTGGAATGATTGAAACAAATTAAATTGAAGCAGGTACGAAAGACTTACGATGTATTTCTGATAAGAAATATGACAATGTTCAGACAGTTTACTGCAATATACTACAGCTATATAAATCATAATGGGGGCTTGTAAATATTCGAGTCTGGACCAGACAACCCAGTGATTGATATAGTCATGCCACAGGGGTAGGATCACACCATCAACCAACTCACTGAGCTAGACCACCAAACATCTGATCACTTCTTATAACCAGCAAAGATTGTTGGGGACCAACTTCATCCCTGAATACCCACAGGGAACAGACCAAGGTAAATCCCTGATATATAATATTAGGTGCAAGTAAGTAAGGGGCGTGAACCCCTTTTAATCCAGACTTCTTCAGTTTGAAAACTTTGGAACTCTTTGTTCATGAACAACAGAAATTCTGGCAGCACACACACCTTTATATGGGGAAAACAAGTAGTAGCCAAGGCCGTAGTTAACTTTTTTGGACAGGGGGGGCAAATATTTGTACAAGTATCACTTGTCCCCAACTTGATTCAAATAAAACTGTTTCTATGAAAAATCTAGGGGGGCAACTGCGCCCCCTGCCCCCCGGCTGGCTACGGCACTGGTAGCATAACGACAGGGTCCCCACGCAACATGGTTTACATCCAAAATACCTGACCATAGGCTCAATGGGTTATACTTGACTCAATATATTTATCAGTCAATTGGTTTCTGGGGACTCTACCAGAAATTATTTATTTTTCAATGTTTCAATCAACAGAATGTTAATGATTTTATTTATTTTTATATTCTGTAGACTGGATATAAAACTCAAACAGGATTCTCCTAACTGTGCTCATGACTCAAATGTAGTGAGTCATGATGACTCCCCGTTTCCACAGCACCGACAAACTGTGACATGCTGTGACAGCACTTTTCATTTTGGTATGATGTGCCATCATTACAAAAATATGAATATGAATCGTAATAAAACATACATGGAATATCTTTTTCCATAAATTCACATCAACAAAAGTACATGTATCACAAAAAAAATTAAACAAACAGCTCCATAGTCAAGAAAACGCCTGCAAAAGAAGTATTAGTCACAAACACAACACAGAATTACAACACATTATTGTCATAATCTTATCTAAATGATACTCTCCAAGACTTTCATGCACAGTCCTACTAGTGCTTAGCAGAGGCCAAAAATCACGGATCAACCCTGGCAGGTTAACTCCATGTTAACGCCATGTTAACTCCATGTTACTTCATATTTTTGCAGTACATCCATTTGATCACATCAGGTTATGAGTCAACAAATGTTTCTAGCAATAAAAGCCAACTTATTACTTTCATAATAATAGTTCTTCTTAACGTCAGTTTAAAGAAGAACGTACACAATTTATACCAATGACAACAGGGGTCGTCAAGTACACATTATTATCGAACAAATGTACACAGGGTTTAGCCTGGGAAATAGTCTGTATGGGAGAACATGTGACAAAATGAAGGGGATTTTTATCACGGTAATGAGATTTTTACAAATATTAATGAGATTGTATATTTTTCTACAACTTTGTGAAATACAAATTTTCACTAACACATTAACTATCAGGATGAGTTTGGCTTGCAACTTCAAATATTCCAGCGACATGTATATTTCGTGTGAGAGTTATAACCATTGCGTGTATGTACTGCGTCTTCATATTTGTAAACTGACAAGGAATGACATAAGATAGTTACGTGATAAATTGCAAGGAACAATGAAGATCGAAGCATGGTTTATTTCATGATAAAACATTGTTCTATCATGAAGTCGTTTCTGGAAATCAAATGTGATCGCAACTTGATGACGTCATGTATTGGACGACATTTTTGAGAGGGGAGTGTCTAGTGAGTTGTTCCCCATAGATGTAGCTGGGCAACGCAGATAAACGCGCTGTCCGAAATATCGCATCCGAAGGTGGGGAGAGATATGACAATCGGTACTTGGAGAAAAGGTACAGGTAATCCATGTGAGGATTGTGAGAATATACGGGAAATACCCACATGCGCATAAAATGGACATATCTGATATTGCCAAGGCCAGATTCTATTGAGGGAGTAATGATTATTTAAATTTGGGTAAATATTTTTAAAGCTTGTACATTTTATTATCATCCTCAAAGAGGCTGTACACAATAGACATAGTTTATTCTACTTGCAGTGTTTTATTGTAAGATAAACAATGACCATGACCCGTTTATTTCTTAATTAAATATATCTTGTAAATGTATGCAAGACTGACAGCGTTTCAGTCATCAGGGGGTGGGTAGGTTCAAATTTGCATATTATGGGCGATCCTTAGCCCCATTTAAACTTTGTGCAGCACTTATATTTCCATCTTTAGCAACCTACTGACTACAAACAATACATTCAATATTTCTCTAGTGAGGAGCATAAAAAATTAACGGAAAAAGACCAACACGTTACGTTGTAGGTACTGACACCGTTATCAAGCGACGTTTCGGTGTAGGTACTGACACAGTTATCAAGCGACGTTTCGATGTAGGTTCTAACACCGTTATCAAGTGACGTTTCGGTGTAGGTTCTAACACCGTTATCAAGCGACGTTTCGGTGTAGGTACTGACACAGTTATCAAGCGACGTTTCGGTGTAGGTACTGACACAGTTATCAAGCGACGTTTCCATGTAGGTTCTAACACCGTTATCAAGCGACGTTTCGGTGTAGGGACTGACACAGTTATCAAGCGACGTTTCGGTGTAGGTTCTAACACCGTTATCAAGTGACGTTTCGGTGTAGGTACTGACACAGTTATCAAGCGACGTTTCGGTGTAGGTACTGACACCGTTATCAAGCGACGTTTCGGTGTAGGTACTGACACCGTTATCAAGTGACGTTACGTTGTAGGTACTGACACCGTTATCAAGCGACGTTTCGGTGTAGGTACTGACACCGTTATCAAGCGACGTTTCGGTGTAGGTACTGACACTGTTATCAAGCGACATTTTGGTGTAGGTTCTAACACCATTATCAAGCGACGTTTCTGTGTACACCGAATCGTCGTTCCTAATTGTAATAGAGATGTTGAACATCCATATATCTTATCCTTACAAAGAATAATTAGTTTGCAAAAAGAGTTGCGTCGTTTGTTTACGGATATGGAGAAGAAACTGACAAAACCACACACCTGCTACTTGTGGTAGACCGTTGTCAGTTATGATAATATGTGCACAAATTGACATGATGATGAGTATGATATTAGATTGTAAGCTTTTGGGGATGTAAGATTTTATTGACGCGAGATCGGTGAGCGTAAAGTATCGCGGAATCGCGTCTCAAATGTCAAGTTATGAATCCACTGTCAACAATGTTTCAGTGCAGCTGTTCACAGATGTCAAGTTATGAATCCACAGTCAACAATGTTTCAGTGCAGCTGTTCACAGATGTCAAGTTATGAATCTACTGTCAACAATGTTTCAGTGCAGCTGTTCACAGATGTCAAGTTAAGAATCCACTGTCAACAATGTTTCAGTGCAGCTGTTCACAGATGTCAAGTTAAGAATCCACTGTCAACAATGTTTCAGTGCAGCTGTTCACAGATGTCAAGTTATGAATCCACTGTCAACAATGTTTCAGTGCAGCTGTTCACAGATGTCAAGTTATGAATCCACTGTCAACAATGTTTCAGTGCAGCTATTTATATGTTAACATATTAATCTATTGTCAACAATGTTTCAGTGCAGCTGTTCACAGATGTCAAGTTAAGAATCCACTGTCAACAATGTTTCAGTGCAGCTGTTCACAGATGTCAAGTTATGAATCCACTGTCAACAATGTTTCAGTGCAGCTGTTCACAGATGTCAAGTTAAGAATCCACTGTCAACAATGTTTCAGTGCAGCTGTTCACAGATGTCAAGTTATGAATCCACTGTCAACAATGTTTCAGTGCAGCTATTTATATGTTAACATATTAATCTATTGTCAACAAAGTTTCAGTGTACATGTTCACATGTCTCAACATATTAACCTTCTGTCAACAATGTTTCCGTGAAGATTCTGACATGTCATCTTCTTTGTCAACAATGTTTCAGTTCAAATTCTTATAATTTCAACATTGTTAAATTATTGGCAAAATTATTGGCAAAGATACTTTCAAGAGAAAAAACTGTAAACTTGAAATAACTGAATTGTGCCTCTAACTATAACCA